TTCCTGATGCAGCAGAGCTCCAGCAGTAATCCTTGACAAATACTGCACTATACACGCTCTCCACGACCTGCTATTCCCATGAGGATGAATACACAGGTGGATGTCAGGGATTTTCACAATACTGCCAATTTTTTTTATTTTTTTTTTTGACGCACTATATCAAGCAATCTTACACAACACATCTATATCACACCAAATCAGGTTTAATCATACCCACGATTGTGGTTATGATGGCATTAATTGCCGGGCTGTTTTTGGACTTGGCGTTTATTTATATTCATTAAATATTCCTCATCTGTGCATTTCACCAACAAGCCAATGCATTTAACGTGCATGCATTTTTGATTGTGCATACCAAGTTTCTGACTTTGTTTAAGCAGCATGTTCATTAATTTACCTGGAGGCACAAATGCATATACACACACACACACACACACACACACACACACACACACACACACACACACCAACACAAACATATAGGACTTACTTTGCATGGCGGATGTCAGGCAGGGAGCGGTTGAGGGAGATCCGGTCACTTATGTAAATATTGAAGCCGTTCTCCCTGTAGGCCTGGTCGACCCGGTCGGATTCTGTCAGAGGGAACGGCTTCCCCTGTTCACCATTACCTGTATCAAACACACACACAGGTTGGTGAAAAAAACATACTCTAAAGTACCCATCTGTATGCATCCCACACACATGCATTTCAAGTCAAACACAGCTTTGTATGAATGCTAATATTGCTCTGTGTCTGCTGTGATGTTTCAATATGCAACTGTCTGCTAACATTTCAACTTTTTAATATGACTATAATATCAGGCTCTAATTGTGTAAATGAGTTGAAGATTTCTGTTTGTAAGAAACCAGATGAAACAGGATACTATATTATATTATATATGATATTCTATAATAATATTTATGATACTTCACCTGTGACATATAAAGACAACAGAGAGAAATACAGTATGAACTAAGGTTAGATTGAGAGGTATGAATACAAAAAAAAGTTTGTCTTCAATTCCATTACTCTAAGATTAAAATCTATTTGTTTCAGTCCTAATTATTTTATCCTTTATATAAACAGGAAGTCTCTTGAGACACAATATTGCTTTTAAAAGAGAAACCTCAACAAACTAGCTACAATGCAAGGGTATATGTTTCATTTAAACATTAGTAGAGACACATTTTAAGTGGGGGGCTGGGGTCCTTCACCAGGACACTTCATTTCCTGCATTCTGGTGATGTTAATGCACCAATATATAGTGGAAATGTCTTTATTTATGTAAAGGAAAACACAAAATTAAGGTGATATGGGACAATTTAAAACATAAAAACAGGCAATAATGGAATTTAATGCAGTAGGGCTCTCAGGTATTCTGTATTGCTTTTAATTATTTACTCTCATATAAGTCAAGTGCTTATTTAATGTCATCCCTGTTAAATCAGTACACATGTTGGCATAGTTTACTTTTATATCCTCCTTTGTGTCTCTTGTTTGGGTAAGTAACCACTTAAAAGTACATATCGTATCTATTCACATCAGCGAGAAACAAAGTTTTTTTCATTTATAAACCCCCTGGACTTTAATAGTTCTGATGTCACAACTTTCTGCACATTCACAATACATCCCACATGCATGTGTTCTCTGAGAAGTCGAGGAAAAAGTTATTCTGTTGTATCGTATCAGTATAATAAATCCTAATTTAATAATGAGAATAAAGTTGAAATATTTTAAGAAAAAAAAATCTGCCTGCCCTATAGGCCACTGTGCATTACATAATTGCTCTGCTGACAGGTCCCTTCATATCATCTGACAGACACAGAATCTGGTTTGGGTCAATCTGGATGAGACAAAGTTTAAGCCTCTGTGTGCTGCTCTACATCAGAGGTGGAATACCAAACCTAATTGGAATCACTACTCATCAGGTATAATACAGGATCTTCCTGTAGCCTATTGAGAAAATATAATGCACTGTCCCTGACTGAATCAATACAAGACACCATTTGTCCCATATTTTCATGCACAGAGCTGTTAAAGGAGCTATACGTAAGAAATATAAAGCAAATAGTCGTAAAATCCTCCTAATATGTCACAGAGACTAAGGAATAATGTTCATATAACATACTGATCTCACCGACAACAATAGTACAGCCAGAATATTCGCATTTAAAAAACATTTTTACGGTCTGCAAATCATGTTTATGTTTTGAATTTGTGTTTTGGCCTGTTGCGCCACCCACCGCCGTCTACCAGTCACACAGTCAGTAGTCTCAGCATCAGTTACAGTTACGACAGAGCTACAGCAGCACGGCAAGCAGCATTAGCAGTGTCCCAGTATATTGCATTAGCAGCCGTCTCCTCCTCAGCTGTATCCCGGCAGCAGCATTAGCAGCAGAGAAGCCGGACTTGCTCAAACGGTCCGCTGGAAAACCAAAGATCAAGGACGCGGCATTGCGGCCCTGCCACAGCAGCTGCCCGTGGGCAAACAAATCAGTCTCTAGCGTGCCGCTGTCCAGCAACCTCGAATCTGTAGGGAAGGGGGGGCGGACACGACCCGCGGCAGTATTTTGAATTTGAGTGCAGTAACCATTTTGGCCACATTCTTACATACAGCGCCTTTAAGAGAGTATTATGTGAACATGTTTGCTCAAATACTGGTAGAGACATTTCTGTTTTCCCAAAAATACTGGCAGGGAAACTTGCCTACAGTCCATATGCAAACCTCCGCCCTTACAACCTTAGGCAACCTTAATCAACCTTGATTAACCTGCTGATTATTTTTCCTGATTAAGCGTTGTTTAGTCTGGTCTATAAAATGTCCAAAAAAAAAAAAATTCAAAACAATGTAAAAAATGCTTCCCTTATCAGAAGTTCAACAAGTTGCTTGTTTTTTTTTTTAGTCCAAAACCGAAAGATATTCAGTTTAGTATCATTAAAGAACAAGAAAATCAGCAAATATTCAGATTCAAGACTTAAACAAAGTATATACCAATAAGTTTATAGTCTATCGAGTGATTCATTAATCAACTAATCAATTCAACTCTAGACAGAGACAATCAATATATATATATCTAAGGTACATACATTCTAGACACACTATTCGGTATATCACTTAGCTTATATATAAGACACGTACACCAAAGCATTGCACCTAATCGCTCTCCAAAAACCTCCCCACACAAACATTATGAAATCTGAGTTCATTTCAGAAGTGCATCAAATTACACTGTGCTGCATGTTTCATTAGCCACTCATCAATGCACTCCACACAAACACACAAAGACGCATGCATGGAGGCTGATCTATAGTCAGAGGAGAGCATCAAATTAAAGTGAGCTGGCTTGTTCCATTAGGCAGAAATGATCTGTCTACATTCCTGAAGGTAATAACTGTGGAAAATAACTCCTCACTTTAATGGCTCATTTCAGAGATAAACTCCTCTACTTAACATTGTGCTTCCCCCCGCATAATAAACTTGTTACATAGATCACCTAAATAATGCTTTCTAGTCCTCTCAGGCAAATCTGAACCCCGAGAAAACTTTTAAAAACTACCTTATAATATTCTTCTTTGAGATGCAGTTTATTAGTGATTTTCTTCAGAAAATTGATATTCATGTGTCTCACTTGTGCTTTTACCGAGCAATGCACATTACACACTTGTTTGCTTAGCTGGTGGCATGTGAAGTGCTCCAGACAGGTTTGAACATTGAGACATATACACTTGGTCTCGCTTTCAGTGCCTCCTTCTCTCTCTCGGCAGCTAAGCCATTTAAACTCTCTCAACGTGACTCCCTCCTTGATGCTGGAACATTCAAACACAAGCTGTGTGCTAAAGTCATACTAGATATTTACTCGGCAGGTTTTGAGGATGACATGCGTGTTTACACTAGTAAAGTGACTAAAAACAGTCAGTATACATGCTAATAAATGGTTGTTTTTGAACGCCCTGTACACGGGCACTTGTCCTTCAAAGATAATACACAACGGAAAAGGTAGAAGGTGTGATAAATTGTAGGTAGTATTGAGATGGCTCCAGAAAGACCTTGGAAAATAATTCTAATTAAAGGATAACTTCGGTATTTTTCCACCTGGGCCCTATTTCCCCATGTGTATGTGTGCGTATGATTCATAGGTACGACTCGTTCTAAAATTGGTTCAGTATTGAGGGGAGGCAGATGCAGCTGGCAGCCGCGAAAAGAGCTAAAACAGTAACGGGGGCAAATGCGTCCCGTATAAGTTTGCGCATTAAAAGTGCTTTTTTTCGCCACTGACCGGTTCAGATCGCCAGTGTTATCTCTGTAAATAGCATACTAAACCTTTCCCTTACCTCTGGGCTGTGTGACGTCATCTCGCGAGAGCTTTGCTTGTTGCCGGAAGAAAACAGAGGAGCCATGCAGAGCGCCGCTCAGAGTGGCGCTGGTTGTCCCGGAGTACAGCTGACAGTTTTACTGCATCGATTGAAAACAATGGTTCGTGTTTGTGCTTATCCGAATTGCAAGAACAGGATGTCGCGCAACATCCCGTACAGCTTTCATGGGCTGCCTTTGTCGGACGGCGAGATGCTGAAGTTGTGGCTAGTTGTGCTACAAATGGATGCTAACACTCCTGTCCAGACACTGCGCCTTGCAGACCATCGGGTCTGCAGTGCTCACTTCTCCCAAGATGACTACTGCCAGCCGAAGAAGAGAAGACATCCAATCCCAAAACACCTCTTCCTCATGAAAATGGCTGTCCCACGAGTAGAGAGAGCTACAGACACAGTGGAGGTAATGTTATATAAACAATGTTCGAAACACTTAGTATGCTATTTACAGAGATAGCACTGGCGAGCTGAACCGGTCAGTGGCGAAAAAAAGCACCTTTAATGCGCAAACTTATACGGGACGCATTTGCCCCTGTTACCGTTTTAGCTCGTTTCGCGGCTGCCGGCTGCATCCGCCTCCCTCAATACTGAACCAATTTTAGAACGAGTTGTACCTATGAATCATACGCACACATACACATGGGGAAATAGGGCCCAGGTTGAAAAATACCAAAGTTATCCTGTAAATCTTTAGAAAGACATGTTGGTGTCTCTTTGAGAAGTTTCGCTGGCAGTCGCATTTCAAAGTCCCAGTTTGATTGACATCCAACGGCGCAGGCATCGTGTGGGAGGTGCAGCTGGTTCTGAAGCATTTTTCCCCCACTCTGTATTTCCGTTTCAAATGTTTCACTTAATGATAGCCTCAATGTTTTTCAACACAGAAACACAGGAGTCTCCTGGATAATTCAACAGTACTGTCGTTTCACGTTATGGTCGGCATTGTTGCAGCTTTGTTCCTGAGACATTGTGTTTTATTTCCCTCAATTTTGGCGTGGTGAATGTCTCTAAATACAACCCCCATTAGCCTCAGCATTGATATAAAGAAAGATCAGCAAATCAAAACTGTAGCATTCAAAACACATCCCTGCTAGAATTATGAACAACACTTGATATCATAGCTGCTGAACTGAACCAGAAATGAGGGTAAATTAATTTAAGCTGCACACTGTGTTATTAGTGCTCTGATAACATGTTAATGTGTAACAGAATTTATCTCAACGTGCTCCTTTTCATGGCACTTAAAGTAAATAAACCCCAAACTATTGTGTTTTTCCTCAAATTTATCTCTTAGAGTCTCAATCCACCTGGTAGTCTCTCACAAATCCAGCTCATTTGTTACTTAAGTACCACCTAATACTAGAAGGCCAGTTAAATCTGTTACATTTGTAATAAAAAGACAAAGGTATGTTTCCCACTCGAGGCCCGAGGGCGAATCAATGCTTATTGTAGAAGATTAACTGTGTTTAATTATGAACTCAGAACTGTACTCGCAGCATTGATTCACTTTGCTGCTGAGAGAGAAAAATCCACTTGGAAAGAATTAAGAGAAGCAAAAAAAAAAAAAAAAAAGAGTTGAACTAGAGTGCTACAGTGTGTGCGTGTGTGTGTGTGTGTGTGCGTGGCTTTGTGCTGAAACAGAGCAGATGTTCTCAGCTAATATGCCCAAAACAAAACAGCAGCATCAGCACAGAGTCTGGACCTACCTGAGCGAGCAGCATCTCTCCTCATCGCTTCGTAGTCATGCCAGTCTACCCGCCGCACGCCATCCAGTCCCACCTGAGCGACCTTCCTCATCTGGTTCAAACCCTGCAGGAGCACACAAAGTACAAACCATTAAGACTTCCGTCATGTCTTTTGCCGGATCACTCAGGAGCTCTTCATCTCATTATATGAGAAATAAAAGCTTCCTCCAAAAGAGCAACTAGATCCGTTCATGGAAACTTGATTAACTCAATCACTGTTGTCATGACAATAAAGGATATTTTGCTTTCATAAGAGTTCTCACCCTTTTCTTGAGATATGTCCTTGAAAACAAAAGTGTTTCTGTGAAATACAATCAGATTTCAAGCAGTGGTAAAAGAGGAAAAGGAAAAAGTCATGTCTGTCTTCAATATAAAAAGCAGAAAAATATAAATGACATTTTTTTCATCTCAAATTTTGTGTGTTGGTGTGGCACATCAACATGCTGATTAAACACAACTATACCTTGAGCTAATTACAATAAAGGGTTACTCTAAAATGTGCTGGTTTATCTTGAGAAAAGAAATGTTTTAGGTACTCTGAACTATGATTTTGCATCGTCACTAAGGCAACAGATTCACATCTTTTTGTTCACATGGGATTCATTTGTGAAGAGAACACTTCTCCAAAGTGCCTGACATCACTGAAGGTGAGCATTTGTCCATTCAAGACGGGTATGACAACAAACTGAAGACAGGTCAAGACCCTGCTGAGGATGAGGAGCATGCAGATGAGCTTCCCTGAGATAGTTTCTGATAATCTGTGCAGGAGTTCTTTGGTTGTGCCAACCATGTGGTTTGTGGTTGGCACTAAAGAAAGGCTGGTTGGATGTACTGTCAAATTCACAGAAACAGCATTGGTGACATTGGACATTCCTGTGGTCAACATGACAATGGCACAGTCCCTCAAAACTTGTGGCTTTGTATTGTGTCATAAAACTGCACGTTTTAGAGGCACCTTTCATTGTGACCATCCTAAAGTACACCTGTGTATTAATGATGTTATTTAATGAGCATCTTGATACTGTATGCCACACCTGTCAGGTGGATGGATTATCTTGGAAAAGGAGACGAAATCAAAAAACAAGTATTTTATGTGCATAGAAAAAGTCTAAGATCTCTTATTTTAACTTTAAAAGCAAGTTGGATATGTTGTAGTTATATTTGTGTTCACTGTAATATCAATATGATCCATAAGAATCCATATAATTTGAATTGCTGCAATGAAATACCTGAATACAAGATACAGCTCTTTTCTTTTTTTAACAAACACACAGAAGAAAGAAACAGTAGCGTAACAGACTTTCTATCAGTTTCACTTTCCTCCTGGCTGTCAGCCAAAATTTGCACGTCTTTTTTTTTATTACTATTTTTTTTATTCTAAAGTGTTGTTGGCAGCTGGGGGTATAGAAAAAGGAAAACAAAAACTCAGTTTTTTTTATTTTTTTTATTTGTATGACACCCAGATTGGTATACAATTTCAATTCAGTTTTATTGCCATTACACACACACACACACACACACACACACACCCTAATCACCACAAGCTATTATTCTCTACAGCATTAAAATGCAAAAGCAGCCATTTATGAAATTCTCTCCGCTTTAGAAATGACTTTCAGTGACTCAAGATATTACGGGATCACAGCACAATGATAAATCAATTAGCTCCACGGGAGGATGCAATTAGTGAAATGTTTTTCATACAAAGACACGTCTGACTGCATGGAACACTATTAGCCAGGCTGTTAGCTGATACCACAGTACGGTCGAACAAATCACTGTGGGTGCAATGGGAGTGTGTGCTCATGTGAGTGTGCCCACAGCAGCTGCCTCCAGTCTGCTTGACGTGTCAGAGTCAGCAAAGGTGGTAGATACTGTGTAAAACATGGATAAAACCTTGCATCAATATTCCATACTGTATTTCAACTGTATACAGCACATACTTAACAGTATACTGTTGTTTGTAGTTAATATACAATAAATCAACACTTGTGCTGTCAGATTTCAGTCAAATTGTGACTTTAGAACATCATAGATAATCAAACTTTTTACAGAGGGCAAAACGATTTTCAAATATGAATTATTTAGATTTATTCTGGACTTTGTACATTGCATTGTTGGGGTGAAACTTAGAACTTAGAAACACTTTGACAACACATTTTTTCGCACTGTACTCAAAACACATTTACGGCCTGGACACATGCCGCTTCTTTTACCGCCTGGAAAATGAAGGTTGGGTTGTGCCTACTCTGTGCCAGCCTGACGTTGCTAAGCGACCATGACCAGCACTGTTTCATAGCTTATCTACGATAAATCCCAAGTCTGAGGCTAATCTTCTCCCGGGCATTGTTTTTTAAGATTTTATTAGTCCTAAAATGCCCTGCACTAAAATGGTCAACTTCTCCTTTATGTTTTTCATAGACTGATAGGAAAAGATCATGGTGTGGGTTAAAATGAAAAAGAAAGTGACAAACACGTAAGCCGTGAGCCTGCTTCACCTCAAGCTTTTCCCAGCTGACCCAGAGCTGGTTGCAGCGCACCATCAAGGCAGAAATACGCCCGCCGGGAGCCGTTCAGCACCGCGGAGAGCTCCCCACACAACCTAGACCCCAGAGTTAATAACAGCAGGTTATGGTGTTTCACTCTCTCCTCTCTATGAGACTTGTATCTCGACCAGTAGCCTACTTTTGTTGCGTTGCTGATCCTCTATGGTACACAAATACAGTATAGTCTAGTATAATCACATATCAGAACAACATCGGACTAATGAGAGGTCAGAACAATGCTACGGCACCCCTTGAGCATGCCCATCTACATTGACAACAATACATATGAGGACAAAAAAAGGGGGAATGTGTACGGGCCCTGGTATGAATTTAAGGAGCAGCTAATGTCTAAATCTTGGCTTGTGTCCTCTAGAGCAGTGGTTCCCAACTGGTGGGTCATGGTCCAAAAGTGGGTCGTGGGTTCAAACAGAAGTGACTTGCAAATATGTCAAGTTTGTAAAAAACACCCTTTACTTTTAAGTACAGTGGATTTCCGGCACAGAGCTTTTATTTTGAAGTGCCATTTCCTGCTGTAAATTGAGTGACTAATGGACAGCTACTTGACAGAGACAGCAAACTACCTCAACGATGTGGCCAAAAACAAGTATGATGCTTTATCTATTAAACTGTGTGGACCTTGAACCAATGACTAAGGAGAAATCTGGACCCCGGGGCTGGACCAGTTGGGAACCACTGCTCTAGAGGCTGCAATGACTATACCACAGCACCATTTGAAAGTACTGGAACTTAAAGGGATAGTGCACCCAAAAATGAAAATTCAGCCATTATCTACTCACCCATATGCCGAGGGAGGCTCAGGTGAAGTTTTAGAGTCCTCACATCACTTGCGGAGATCCAAGGGGAGAGGAGGTAGCAACACAACTCCACCTAATGGAGGCTTATGGCGCCCCAGATTCAAACGTCCAAAAACACATAATTGAAACCACAAAATATCTCCATACAGCTCGTCCGTCGTGATCCAAGTGTCCTGAAGCCCCGACATAAAAAGTTGTTTGGAAAAACGTCATTTGAAATCTGTTTTTAGCCTCATTGTAGCCTGTAGCTTGCGCGCAAGACCATGAGACATGGGCACCGCGTTCATGTGTGTTCGCGTGCTTTCGCTGGTCTCGCAGACAAGCACATGAGCACGGTGCACAGAGAAGCAGTCAGAGCTGCAGGCTACAATGAGGCTAAAAACAGAGTTCAAATGACATTTTTCCAAACAACTTTTTATGTCGGGGCTTCAGGACACTTGGATCACTACGGACGAGCAGTATGGAGATATTTTGTGGTTTCAATTATGTGTTTTTGGACGTTTGAATCTGGGGCGCCATAAGCCTCCATTAGGTGGAGTTGTGTTGCTACCTCCTCTCCCCTTGGATCTCCACAAGTGTTGTGAGGATTCTAAAACTTCACCTGAGCCTCCCTCGGCATATGGGTGAGTAGATAATTGCTGAATTTTCATTTTTGGGTGCATTAGCCCTTTAATGTTTATGCATATTAGCCAAATTTTAAAAAATATACATTTTAACATACTGTATATTGGTTAGCTTGTGTGGTGTAACTGTGGCTAAAATGAATCGCCCTTCCCCTGATATCAGTGTCTCTTTGAAACTTTAATAAAACTGGACTCAGCAATGAGAAAACAAACTACAGCATACAATGAGCACATGTCATTCATATGTGTATGTGTGATGAAAGTTTGAGAGGCAGTGAGTGGTTTGACAGACAGATTGGCTGGGTTTAAGGCACCAGAACAGGCATTTGAAACACAAAGCTTTAATAATGCCACAGCTATTTAAGTATAATTAGATTGTTCAGTAGCTCTTTTAAGAATAATTAGCGTTTAATTATTCTGATTAATGGTGTTAGAGCTATGGTCAATTCTGAATGATTTGTATGAGGAGGTTAATGAATAGAAGTAGGCACCAATACCACTATGAAACAAAGGATGGAGAGAATCACAGTTATTTCTTTAGGATCAATGTGAATCTGCAAGATAAAACACCAGAGTAGATTGAGGCAACAGAAGTGTCATCATTTTCTGTTTCTGTTAAATCGGGTTAGGTTTTTCCTTAAGTGAAATGCTAGTATAATTGTCTTACAGTTTCGTCCCTCTCTTCTCTTTTTGCTTCATATTTCCTCTCAGTGTGTCACACCAAGACCTGACATGATGCGAGAGTCCATCTGTGTGTGTTCTACTGAAAGGATGCAACTGTGCCAGCAGATGTAGGGGACTTTGCAGAGAACAAACAACAAGGGGACTGTGACTCCCAGAAAAGCTGTCTTAATCACTCAACACTAATATGCAGGAAATGAAACTGGACACCACATTAACCCAGCATTCTAGTGGAACATCCATTTCTTCCCCTCCATTCATTTTCATTCAATTCATTTAAGTTCAGTTTGAATTTACTGTCATTCTGCAACATACTGGTGCGCAGCTAAAGGAAATACCACTTCTCTTCAGGCTACAGTGGAAACAAAACTAATGTCGATGAAGTACAAGTACAGTGCA